TTGATCCAATGCTGCACAACTGAACTGATCCAATGCTGCTGTGAAAAAAAGAAGCTATATCCATGTTGGATAGAATATCAAATTTAAATAAAAAAATAACCTTAAGGGACAACTTGAATGCTTTTTTTTCTCTTAATGCATTGCATAAAGATCGGATCGGGAAAAATCGGTATCGGCAAATTGTCAAAATCAAATGATCGGAATCGGATCGGGAGCAAAAAAAGGTGATCGGGACATCCCTATCAAATACGTTTATTTTCTACATATCTTCTAGAAACATATTTTCTCCCACGTTACGTTTCTTATGAACGTATCTTAAATACGTTTATTTTCTACATATCTTTGCCATTTATTGTCTTGCTTATAATAATGATAATAGTCATTTATTTATCATTTTAGAGCACACATTTGAAATCGAGAATCGGGCTCGATATATGGTTAAATTAAAATCAGTAGGCAAGGCTGTAATTTCACCAGCTGTTACTCTCATGAGCGAGGCAGAACATAATAGTTGTATCATGTCAAAAAGCTGCTGTGTCGTTTATTGCACCTCAAACATCACACAAGGTACACACAGCATACTAATAATAACTTTGTATTATTAGTGTAGGACACTTATGTATGTATAACATCTGAAGATGTGTAGTTTTATTCATGTTTTTACATAATTTTACAGGATATTGCTATACTATTTCTCATGTTTTACTTCTACACATTAATATCTGATTTGTAAAACATCACAGACAGAAAGGTATATCCGTCATTTAATGGTAAGCTATTGAAATTGTGATTCCATAGATGTGTCTCCCATCACCCAGAACCCCTGACTATTCTCTCAACTCAGTATTTACATTCTTATATTCAAAGAAAATCAGTCATACCTTTAAAAACTACAAGTCCTTTTCTATCAGCTGTGCACCGTTATGGTGTAAATATAACCTATCTACCAATTGGATCAAATATAAAAGTCAGCCGAATTACTATTGATACTGCGAGGAGACGTATTTTGTGAAAAGAAATGCAAGATGTTGTTTAATTGTTGATATATTTATGATCCACGTCACATATTCAGTTTTGCCGGCAGTTCTTCCTGTTTGTCTAGAAGTCTTCTTATCAGGGCTCTATAAATAAAGAACTACGGCAGATGTGTAATATTTAATGCAGCCGAACCGTGTATTACAATGCCGTTATGTGATGACTTTCAAAGAGAAAAGCAAGAACACTCGGAATGAAGTATTTTTTTATTTTTTTAAATGTTTTCGGATATCATATCGCATTAACACCATATCCCAACGTGCATTGCGGGCTAAAACATCCAATCAACGAGCTTCAAGCTGAGGATCTTGGGTAATCAGTTCAGTGGGTTTGTGGTGTGTATCGAAATGTCCCTTATAGGCCTACGTCTGTTTCCGGTGACTTTATTTACGGCTAAAAAGCATGCTAAAAAGCCCAAGATTATAGAATTAAACGAATAAATAAAAACAAGGATAATTGTGTTATTGTTGAGTAAATAACAGTGTGTTATTTAGAAAAGAGCAACAAATTAGAAGGAAAAAAAGATATAAAAAGACAGATTTCAGTATTTTGAGGCTCTAAGCCCCACTTATTTTCCTCATTGACGGCAAAAAAAAGTCCGACATTATACAATTTAGTTATGAGAGTAACAGCTGGCGAAATTACAGCCTTGCCTACTGATTTCAAATATGTGCTCTAAAATGATATTTATAAATGACTATTATCATTTTTATAAGCAAGACAATAAATGGCAAAGATATGTAGAAAATAAACGTATTTAAGATACGTTCATAAGAAACGTAACGTGGGAGAAAATACGTTTCTAGCTAAACGTAATTGAGAATGCAGTTTAGTTCTGTTGGTCAGACATGATGTGTGCCGCTCACCTGATTTTGCAATCTCTGACGTAGAGGGGGTCCTGCAGCTTGTCCTCCCAGGGCAGGCGTCCACACAGCCACTGCACCATGCAGTAACACAGGATCTCCAGGTCGCTGCGCCGGCACGCAGCTGCACACACACAACCACATCAGCAGCATCACCTACATTACATGCTGAACTAGAGCAGAGTAGGAATGATCCCTCGTCTGTAAGTGAAAGCTTTTTTGAACTTGTTTTTGTTCAACCTTGAAAGGTCTGAGGTTAACACAAGCTGAAGAGATTTGAATGTTTTGTTCTCCGACATAAAACATGTCAGTAAATACTCTCATAAAAACAGAGTGAATAAATTAGACTACTAAACATTAGCCGCCTTTAGTTTAGCATCTGTGAAGTGAAGTCATGTGACCGTGATGTAATTCCTTTATGGGCTAACGTTAGCTTTTTACTTTGAGATTGCATCAACGTTTGAAAAAGTGATGTTCATTTGTGGATGAAAAAGGTGTTTGACAGAGATGTTATCTTCTGCAATATGCCACAACCCTTTTTGTTGAGGGAGCCCTTGATGCTAACTTCTGGGTGGGCCTACACAAAGACATGAACACTGCACCACTCCATGCACTGCTATAACAAAGCCTCATGTTGATGTGTTAGCTATGAAGCTGGAGTCAGGACATGGTTGCTTTGAAGTTAGATCAATCACAAAAACTGCAATTTCTGGTTTTATGAGAAATGGTCACTTTCTTTTGGTTGAGATCCCACCTTTTAGATTGTTGTTCTGTAATTAGTGTGACCAGTGACAAATCACTAATACTTTTCTGTATGGCCTTCCTCTTTTTGTAAAGGTTTACCCCCCACCACAGAGTAAAGACCTGGCAGCGTACGGGAGCTTTTATGAATCTACTCGTAGTGTGATGTACCTACTTGCTCCCTTGTGTGCGTCGATGCTTGTGAACTCGATGGTACCGTCGTGACATCTCTTGGGGTCCTCCTTGTACTCTTTTATCACACTATCGGGTGCATACCTGTATGCCAGCCCATAATCTACCAAGTAAACCTGAAAGACAAACACACACCAACAACAGGATTAAACCTGCTCTCTATTTATAAAAACATATTTGCCATGTCTCAGCACTTTAACTGACAGTATGGGGAGCAGGTGATTCCCCCGTTTTTAAATTCAAATTGTTATTCCAGCAACATAAACTAAGCATTATTACTTAGTCTTTAATTGCTTTAATAAAGAAACTTGCAAAAATAAGAACAAAGCTACATCCCAGTAACTCCAGGGGAAGAAATACAAATATCACAGCTACAAACACCTCACCTAATAAAACAATCCTTAGGGGCCCATTCTTAAATTGTCATTTATAAAAAGCTTTTTAATAACACCACCAATGATACATTATTAATCTGCAAATTAAATATTTTCCCCTGCTGTGTTTGTTAGGAAAACCTCTTAGCTGCTGCCATCTAATCTCCCCGTTTGGAACACACACACACACACACACACACACACACACACACACACACACACTAAATTAGTACATGTACAGTAAGAGAAGAGAAAAAAATACGTTTTCCCATGAGGGGGGGGTTTACATTTCTGCTGAATTACCCAGG